TTACCCTTTATAAAGATTCATGTGGTGAAGACTTAGAGCTTTATCCTAGAATAAACTCCTAAACCTTCTCACAAACTGGTATCTAGTCCTTTGGTGCATACTGGGTGCTTATAGCTCAAAAGTTTCCCATGTTGAGAGGCTTCCTAAGAATCACAGAACCAAATTGATCAAATGGGTATACTTTGATTTACTGATTTAAGTTAAAAGGCTAAAATTACCAAACATTTATCCAAATAAATGGGAACATTTGTTTGGGGTATTTAAAATTTTTATTACTGGATCATATTTTTAAAGAATCAATTGTTTTTTAAAAATTAAAATGTATTTTACCTTTATGAAAAATTTTCGTCATGGAACTTTCTGGTTTTTCTACCGTAGGATCCTGGTTACTGGATGAAGATTCATCACTTAGAGTACACAGATGGAGGAATCCTGGACCCAGATGATGTCTTGGCAGATGTCGTTGAAGACAAAGATAAGGTAGATGACTCTAAAAAATGTTCCTCTTTGTCTTCCTCTGTAGAGCTGCATGTTTTTCCCGAGATTGAGATCCTTAACAAACTCATGTGTCAATTACTGTTAAAAGATACCATCTGTTCAGGTTTCCCCTTGACAGCCCATAAATCAAAGTTCTTCATCAGATGCCTGGAAAATCTTTGTCAAGGTTTGGGAATCTACTCATGGTGGCCTAATTAATAGACACTTCATTCCCAAGAGTTCCTGATATGCCTCGGGAAATTAGTGTCAGGCTTCGAGGCTGCTGGAGTTCTCATTGTCACTGTTGGCTCTGGTGTTTATTCTTGGCCCTTGCTAAATGTTCAGCTTCATGCCTGAGACTCGAACGTGTTTCAAAGGAGAGCATACAATGGGGAGAAAGGTCTTATGAAGAACGATGGTGAAGATTTTTCTTCAGGTAGCTGGCAAGCAACTGTCTTGAGTGATGGTCTTTGTGTTTCTATGGCTGAAGTGAAAAACACTGAGTTGAATATTTCAGAAAGTTTGAACATACTTTGCCATTTACTTGGGAATAATCCCATTGCAAATATCTTGCTTTAGTGGGATTATTCTTCTGATGTTAAACTGAAAAAGATATAAAAGTAAACTATTCAGATGCAGTACCCCGGGTTATTGCTGTTGAGACAAATCATTTATCACTATATCTGCCTGGGGCTTCTCTGATCAACAGCTGATGTGTTTTCCAGAATTGAACTGCAGCTTTCCCTGAGACATCCTTGCTTCTAAGTCTTTTTTAACTGTGCATCCTTAGTACTGTTGGTACGAGGCTGTTTGATGTCTGTAAATATGTTTCTGTGAAATTTCAGGTAGGGGTGTATGTGGGTGTTTTAATCAACCGGACTGAAATATAAATAAGTGATTTATTTAACATAGGTAAAAATTTACATTTTTTTCCCATAAGATCTTTTTGGTCTGTTGAAATTTACATTAGTCTTTGTGGATATTCTGTCCATTTATTTTTCCTTGTTTTCTGTTGAAATTTAACCCTGGTTTGCTTTGCATTTTAATTAGCCATTTCATAAGGGACTTAGCTCCTTAAATTGTAAGCTCCTGGAGGACACGGACTGGGAGATTTTTATTTCTTCTGTATTCCTTAAGTTAATAATAAATGGTACAATATTTTATGCAAACTTGATTCTCAAAGAACACTTCTGAATTTATTTATTTTTTATTGATTTATAATCATTTTACAATGTTGTGTCAAATTCCAGTGTACAGCACAAATTTTCAGTTATACATGAATATATATATATTTATTGTCACAGTTTTTTCTCTGAGCTTCTGAATTTAGAGTAGAAAAGAAAGCTTACAGTTGCCTCTTGCTGTATGTGATTTTGATGCACACTTCTTATTTTTCGGTCTCCTGGTAAATGATAATGTAGTATTTACCTTCATGACACAGGAGGGGGACTCTCCCTGCTGTTTTTCCCTTTGTATTGTTTCTTCTCTACAGCCATCTTCTTCCTTTGAAATATTCTGGGTATTTGTATTGTTTATGAATGAAGGCCTTCCCATCTCACATTTCACTGATATCCAGTGTAGTAAAATAAAAAGCTGAAATGTGGCAAGTTTAAGAAAGGCCAGAAGAACAAAATTATACTGTATAGCACAGGGAAATATATACAAGATCTTGTGGTAGCTCACAGTGAAAAAAAAATGTGACAATGAATATATGTATGTTCATGTATAACTGAAAAATTGTGCTCTACACTGGAATTTGACACAACATTGTAAAATGACTATAACTCAATAAAAAAATGTTTAAAAAAAAAAAAGGCCAGAAGAAAATGTCTTACCCCAGCCTCATCTAAGAGCTCATTACAGGAAGGATGACTCCATGAACAGTGCCCAGGAACGTCACTTGTCCTGTGCAGCTCCTCCTTTTAGAGAGTTACTTTTAACTGTCTTGGCATTGCAGTTTTTAACCATAATACATTTATTAGGGACAGAAATAGCTTTCTTATATAGAATATGTTTTAAAAGGACTTCACCACTCTTACTAAATAAAGTGAAAAAAGTGAGATAATCAGTTAAAATCCTAGCAAAGAATTAGCACTGTTGGGGTTTACCCATTCTTGTAATGTACTTTTGCCCATTATCTTAATGCACTGTAGTGCTGCCTCATGAAGCCTGAGTGGTATTGTTCTGCAGATGAGAATTTACACTTTTGATATTGCCAGAAGTAATTGTACTACCATTTTCCTTTTTTTTTGTTAAATAATGCAAGTGAAAAAAGCATCACTTTTTTTTCTCCCTGACATTCTCTCTGCAGTCTTACAATTTCCTTACAGTCCATTTGTCTAGTGTGAGAAGAAGTTTCTTCCAGACGTTTTCCCTTTCCTTTTTGTCAGTGTAGAGTAAGAAGTAATTATAAATGATGCTCATGGATGTTTAGTGACATATCAGACACACCCAAGATCCTTGGAGACAGTATAGGACTTAGATGAAATTACAATTCACCTGCTTTTCAAACTGGTTACCTAATCACCTCTTATGTTTAGAATATAGAGAGAAGCAAGCCCAGAGGCACGGATGGATGTACGTAATCCTTGTGCTAAATCTGCTTTCCTCAGCTCCCAGGAAAGAGTCTAGCTTCAGTCGAGAAATGGCAGTTAGGGAGGGGGCCACCGATGGCCTACCTGGAACGGACGAGGCAGGAGAGACAGAATCTTGGAATCAGAAAGCAGTGTAGGCTGAAGCTGTGTATTTAGTGTATGGAAAAGCTATCCAGTAAACTTCAGTGAAGACTGAAATGAGAGGTCAGCTGGTGTTCTACTTAAAATCATACAAGAGGCTAGTAGAGTTGGTTTTCTAAAGAAATGACTTTCAAAATTTCTGGTACCGGAAGTGTGGCGTCTTTGGCCTCACTCGTGTTACTCTTTCGGCCAGCACAGTGCAGAGTGCGTGTATGATGTCTCTTTGGGAGGCTTTGTTTTATTTTCACTTGCTTTCCCAGTAGAGCCCCTTCACAGGAGAACCAAGTTTTTGCCATGTTACACTATTTCTGTCCTGTATTTCATCACAATATTGGAGCAGCTTTGAAATTTTGCATCTTATGATAGCCAGTATTTATGTAAAATGTGCTAACAGGTAGTAATTACCTATTTGTGACTGTCATTCTCAAGATTCTTCAGTTTTATGTATCAGTCTGATTTGGGGTAACTAAGAATTTACGAGTTTACACGCCTCTCTATTTCCGGCCACTCAAGGCCACTGACTGAGTTCACCCAGTAACAACTTAACCCTTTGCTGAGCACTAGCAGTGGCCCAGAGTGGCTTTGGCACTTACATATTTTATTTTAATTTAGAGCAACCCTGCAGGCAAGAGTGTTATCTCCATTTCTGATTTCCAAGAACAGTCACAGAAGTTGGGTCGCTTGCTGAAGATCATTCAGGTGGTAGGTGGCAGACTCAGACTCGGGAACCTCAAATTTAAATTTCCACCCTCCATTTTGTTCTACAACAGGCAGGGCAGTGTGTTAGGTGTTTGTATCTATGGTTTCTAATTATGAAAATTCATCAGTCATAAGTGAGCATGAATTTGCTTTTACATAATTACCACCATTGTTAAGATATGCAAGGGAACTATGGAGTATAAAACAATTAATTCAGAATTAGTATGTCATGCATATGTAGTTAACTCCAACTCTCTTTGCCTGCAGCCTCCATCTAATGGAGTGCAAAGGGCTGCCAGGTTTACCTCTGTTGCTTTCTCTTGAATCTCCTTTTCCCAGGACCCAGATCACTCAATCGAGGTAAAGTTTAATCCCACATGGGCCCTGTAGATGACATTTGGAGTCTAACCACTACGAGCAGTTTCACATACATGGTGTGTACTACATGCAGCATATCATATAGTGTGCTGTCTGCAGTGGGCAGAGTAACAGCCCCAAAAGATGTCTACATTCTAATCTCCAGAACCCGTGAGCACCTGTGTTACATGGCAAAGGGTCTTTGCAGGTGTAACTGAAGACCTTAAAATAAAGAAATGATTCTGGATTATTTGGGTGGGCTATGTGTAATCACAAGGCTCGCTAGAAATGAGAGGAAGGCAGGAGAGTCAGGGTTAGAGAGATCCAATGTGAGAGTCAGCTGGTCATTGCTGGTTTTGAAAATGGAACCAGAGAATGGAGGCAGCTTCTCCAAGCTGGAAAAGGCAAGGGATCAGTTTCTCCCATGGTCTCCAAAGGAGCTCAGCTCTGCTGGCACTCTGCTTAGCTCAGTGAGACCCACTTTGGACTTCTCACCTACAGAACTGTAAGATAAAATTGTCTTGTTTGAATTCACTGAATTTGAGGTAATTTGTTACAGCAGCTGTAGGGCATTCATACACCGTCTTAGGCTGTTTTAAACTTGTAAAGTGATGATGGTCTTCTCAAGTTTCATGGTAGCTAGGCGTTGAAGATCCTGTAGGACAAGGAAAATATACTTCAGATCAGTTGATTGCTCTTTGCATTTCTTCCAAAATCCATCACAAATTGATTCTTAATTTATGGGGTGAGCCTTCATATGCTAGGACTTGGATGTTAAACACCTTGGTAGTTATGTTATTGTCCTGTATGGAAGTCATTTCAGCACCACACCCAAGAGGTGTGTAAAACTCATCAATTTCTTTTTGCACATGTAAAGGCCTGAAGACTGATGCCCCTGCAAACCTTCATGTTCACTCACTGATATTCTTTGCGTGTGAGGACCTCTGAGTATTGAGTTTTTTGTTAATGATTGTTTTCCTTGTCAATTGTCTTTATTATTTCCTAACTGGGTTGTAGAACATAATTAGAATACGATACTGAAATATGGCAGTGTACGACTTCTAGTATGCAAACTGGATTACTGCCATGGTTTTATTAATACACAGAAGTAATACAATGTGGTTAAGTACATAGGAGAGAAAAGCCTCTGTCTTTGACTGTCATACGGGTTCACTTTGGAAAGATGCCAATGGTTTTGGATTCCAGTGAGGG